ATGTGTGTGTGTGTATGTATGTGTGTGTGTGTATGCAGGCCACTGTACTGGTCTCGTTCTGGCTCAGCATTCACACAAATATGTATTTGAGCAATGCTTTGATTGCATTCATTTGCTCATCCTTTTTGTCCCTTTGTTCTAATGTGTTTAAGTGCCTTTGTGCATCGATGTGGACGAACAGCACGAATTGGTAACTATGGCAACGCCCTTGTCTTTCTGCTTCCAATGGAGGAATCGTATATCAATTTTTTGTCCATCAACCAGAAAGTAAGTTCAGTTTTAGCTGTATCTGAATTTATCAAATGATTTCACCCATCATATATTCTTGTTTGTCAGTTCTATTTTTGTACTAGTGTTGTTTTATACATAAAAAAGATTTTTGCAATTGATTATTAAAAACCTTAGCAACACTTTAATTGGAAGTTGCTGATTATGAAGAATTTTCCTAATAGTCGGTGGGCTAGGGTGGCTCACCGTGCACCCCCACCACTGAACTTCTCAGGTATTTTCATGTACCCTAGAGTCCAGTCTTTCAGAAAATGCATGTTAACAGAAAAAAGTTGGGTCTCACTGCCCCGCAGGGACCTCTTTTTGGCCACACCCCTTTTCTATTGTGGCCATCAAAATTAGGGGTACAGCAAACTTAAATACCAATAACTTTGCTATAAACCAACCGAAATTTAAAAACAAGGTATCAGCAGATTAATCTTGATTAGCTCTGAGATGTACATTAAGCAAGTTTCTGCTTGATAATGTCATCAGGGAGGTCAGTCACAACCCCAACAGAAGACGAAAATTTTCATCTTTTTAGTCTGTAGATTAGAGCCGGTCACCATGCACACCCCATGACTGAACGTCTCTGGTATTTTCATGTATCCTAGGGTCCACTCTTTCAAAAAATGCATGTTAACAGAAAAAAAGTTGGGTTTCACTGTTCCCCAGGGACCGCTTTGTGACTACACCCCTTTTCTATTGTGACCATCAAAATTAGGGGGACAGGAAGCTTAACTCTCAATAACTTTGCTATAAACCAAACTAAATTTAAAAAACAAGGTATCAGCAGATTCATATTTATTAGCTCTTCGATTTAAATGACATTTCATTAAACAAATACGCAAACAATGATGTCATCGGGGGGTCAAAATGTCACTACCCCAACAAAATATGACAATTTTCCTCTTTTTTTAGTCTATGGGGTTGGGTGGGTCACCATGCATACCCCACTGCTGAACTTCTCTGGTATTTTCATGTACCCTACGGTCCACTTTTTCAAATAAAGTATGTTAACAGAAAAACATTGGGTCTCACTGCTCCACAGGGACCGCTTTTTGGCCATCAAAGTTAGGTATGTACAGGAAACTTAACTGCCAATAACATTGCTATAAACAAACCAGATTTTATAAACAAGGTATCAGCTGATTCATATTGATTAGCTCTTCGATTTAAATGACATTTCATTAAACAAATTGGCAACCAATGATGTCATTGGGGGGTCAAAATGTCACTACCCCAACAAAATATGACAATTTTCATCTTTTTAGTCTGTAGATTAGGGTGGGTCACCATGCACACTCCACTACTGAACTTCTCTGGTATTTTCATGTACCCTGTGGATGAAGAGAAGATATTTGCTTAATGAAATGTCATGTTCATTGAAGAGCTAATCAATACGAATCTGCTGATACCTTGTTTATAAA